TTTCTGTTGACTTAGTCAATTCTTTTGAGTAACCAATCAATAAGATCAAGTAGAATAACCTACTTTCACATCTCACCTTTGGGCTTCCAGTTAAGAGAATCGATTTTGTTAGACCAAATCAAACATGGGCTTTGTTCCATGTGTAGCTTCGTAATTACCTCTTGACCTCCTCCTTTCTTTAATCGACAAAAGGTCAAATTCAGATTACTATTCAAATCAATGAAACTATTTTAGTCTAATTTGATCTAAGAAAAACAGAAGCACAATATGTAGGATTTGAAGCACACTTTGGAGACCCACATTCTACCGTACTAATCTAAGAGCGCTTTCTTATTAGAATAACAAACACATATTTGAACTGTCTGTTTGATCAACCTAACCAAGCCAAGTCAAACCAATATGAGATGAGCACGATTTTGATTGAACAATCCAATCCCAAACGAACCAACGAACCAAATCCAAAGAAAAAGTACTCGGCTCAGCTTAGTCATATCGCTAAGGTTAGCCACCACAAAGGACCTAGCAGTCTAGCAAGCCTTCATCTATTTCTGAAAGCCCAACCATATAGAAAGGCCAAGTCAACTGAGGCTGCTCTTGCAACATTTCCCATCAAACAATGCACAGTTAAATAAAGCAAATTTCAATGCATGACAGCCTTGTACTAACAATTCAATGAATTGCCTGAAACTAGTAATTGCATTTTATTCAAGTAGTAAAAGTTACAATGGCCCAGTGCCACAAAAAGAATAATGAACCATGGAGAGGAAGCAGCGGAGACTTGACATTAAATGAGGCTCAGTGGAAATACCCACTTGCCCACAAAAATTGATCAACAGTTAAAGAACAAATGTACACTAATCCAAAATCTACTTTCTGCTAGTGGGAAGGAAAGAGAGATTCTCCCGCCAGAGAGGGAAAAATACCTCAGGCCTGAGAGAACCATAAGAATCAGCACCGTGCAAATTGCCCCAATTTTGTGGCACGCACAAAGAATATGAATTTTCTTTCATCTAAACTTGGTTAATCTTGCCCGCTGCTCCCAGAATTGAATGTATTAGCTTTCGTGTTGTTAGAACCCCTATAAAGTAAAATGAAGTTAGCGAACGAGGACATGTTCATGAGGCAGGCCAACCAGAATTCTAATCAGCTTCTGGTGATCAATTCAATCCAATCTGCTCTCCAACCCCAGAATTGAATGGCCTCTAACTTTAAGGCGCTTTGGTCCAATCTCTACAGGGGGGTGGTTTCCGCATTGTTTTTCCCAACTCATGCTGAAATCTATCATCTCTATGCCGTTCTCTATACTTGTTCACTGTTTCCACATTGGGAAGTTTCTTAAACTTAGCAGAGATGGGAATGGTGGTTCCTCTAGCAAACTTGTCCTTTAAAGCACTGTATGTAGCTTCTTTAGAATGAGTTGAACTGTAATTACCACTATGATTGCCAGCTGCAGAACACTCTGATGGCGATAGTTGGCCACACCTTCCTTCAGGTTGTAGTTTCTTTAGTCGCTTAAGCCCCTGCAAAAATAATGAAACCCATATTAGTACCACAGAAGAATGCAATACGAGATCAGGAATTTGACAATAATACCACATGGAGATGAGAAAGTGATCATTAAACTGATGAGATAATTGATGCTATGGACTCGTTGAGAACAAAAAGAAACTGGGGTACGGAGAATTGGAGATAACTGATAGAATGGTGAATTTATGTAACAAGCTAGATGCAATCAAAAAAAACAAAGGTTCTAATGCATTTTTATCTTTGGTAATGCTTGTTTCAAAAAGACTTGTGCACGAGTAGTGCCTCTTAAAAAAGGGAATTACTCTGCCAATCCGATTCCCCCGACCCCCGCTGCCCAATCCACTATTAGTCTCTTTTAATTGTGCAGTCAAAGGCTCACAGTAAAATTATAGGGTTATTTATATGGTTTAATAAAAAAAGAATGATAACATTCCTTACATCTGGATTCAATTGGGTATCTAATTGACACATAAAACAATACTAGAGAACAAAGCAAACTAAAGTATTTTATAAAATCCACAGTACATGAATGGCATGCACTTAGACATTGTCAAAATACTAAGAGACCATTATTAATGAGAAGCAAAAATGCAAGAACCTAGTATTGTGCAGCAAAGTAAAGCAAAGAACACTTTTCTGCTGTACCTGATGTGCATAACTTGAAGTCATTGCATTATTTGCATTTCTCTGTTCGATTTTTGCAGAAGAACGACGTTTAACCCTGAAGATCTCTGAATCAGATTCATCACTATCTTGATCCACAAAAGGCCTAACCTCTGCTTCATGAATATTAGCTTTGCGGGCACCCAAACAATCATCCCTCTGGGAGAATAGTGAAGGGTCATTAATGCGGAAAGGTGCTTCTTTAGTAGAGTTAGGAGCTACAAAATCCCCTGAAGTATAGCTAATATGCTCCTGTATCTGCTAAGAGCATATAGAAATCAAAAGTTATACATGAGATGGACCTAATTTCTTTTAGCAGAAATGACAGATCCAAAAGAGAGGGGGGGTGGGGGGGACGAGTGACTGCAACTTCCCAAAAATTTTGGATCAAGATTGGTTAAATAATTAATAGAAAAAATAAAAATTGGTGTTATAATGATCAGGGTAAAATGGGAAGAAAAAATAGCATTGATGGAGTTTAGGACTTTATGGGTATTAATTATCAAAAGTAGGACTTAATTGTTCATGGTAGGACTTGATGGTTCTTTGTGTGGAAAAATAGGACTTTTTGGTAATTTTTCCTGTTAAAGAATCCATCCCTGCTAGGTAGTGATTAGTTTCCTAGAAACAAAGCAGGAATAGTGCTGTGTTATAAAACGAACAGGCAAAAGAGAAACCCAAATATGGGTAACATAGCTAAATCTTACATTATTGGCCATGGAAGAGCTTTGAGCTGGCTCAATAGAAGAAAGAATTGATGAAGAAGTGCAGGAAAGGGAAGCATCTGAAACTTCAGTCCCAAAATTCTGTGTATCATTGCTCAAAGGAGACTGGTTGAGAGAAGTACACTGAGTTTGTTGTAACGTATCCTTATTATTGGCAAGTTCCTGGTTCAGAACAGAATTTATCTTGCAATAAGGAGTGTATCCATCCTCTGCAGCTCTTGGGAACATATTTAACAGCAGAAACATGTCAGCACCACTTCTGCAATGCTGTTGAACCTCATGTAATACATCCTCATTCTGCTCAAACTTCTTGGCTGCAGCTTCCATATCAGATATATCTTCCGTTACGAAGAGAGTACATTTGCCTCCACAAGGCAAATCAAGTGACTTAATCTCTAAATTGGAAAACCAGGATGACCAGAACCAATCAGCAAGATTCAAGAATGATATATAATATAATGCTACAAAAAGAAAATAAGTGAACATTGACATCTAACATACCATGGCGAAAGCATACAGGATGCAAGCAGCAATGGCAGTTTAGGTATGCTGCATAACAGTCACGCTTGCATAGGCTGCATAGAACTGTCCCCTTGGCATTTTGAGAAACACCCAAGCATGCTCTTGATTTCATTAGACACCACCGAGCCAGGTGCTGGAATCGCATCAAATTTACAAAAGAAACTTTAATGCTACGGTTACAAATTAAGTTTGCAGATGAAGAATCAGGATCTTCAAGTGCCAAATTCCTATGAAGAAGCATTGCTTCCTTGCAGAGAAGTTCCTCATGAGGAAGGAGGGGAATCCTATTAAGAAGTGCGTAACGACGGCTAGCCACTGAACCCATAGGAAACCAATCACCAACTGCAAAGTTCACAGCTTCACCACAATTAAAACCTGGAATTTAACAAAACAGAAGGTGAAAAAGCTCAGTAATGTTTGGTTAGTAGTCATGGAGATGATAAAATCAATACAAAAGAAGTAAAGATTCCATGGAGATCAAAATTTGGCATGTTTTCGGTCTTTAGCTCAAATCAGTTAGTACAAAGAAATTATCATACCATGACTAAAACCAGCATGATATGCTCTAGGGAAAGTTATTACAAATTCCCCGGGATTTTGCACAGCCTTGTAGACTGAAACACCATGTTCTAACAAAATGTTTGGAGGAAACAATGTTGTTTTCCCCAGCAACACATCAAAAGCTCCATCCTCCCCATCAGTTGATAGAATATCATGGGTATAAACATGCTCCCGGACAACCTTTTCAAAATCAAGGGCAGCATGACCAGGAACACCATACCATGTTTTTGCAGCTCCGCAATGATGATAATTAATACTGCATGCAAATAAGGTACCATAATATATGAATGATTTAGGACACAAATATGACCAGTGCCAGTGGACTTTAAATAGAACTAACATGTACCTATACAAGTAATGATCTTCCACGTGCCAAGCAAACATACTAAAAAGCATTCCAATGTAAAGCATGGGTTCAGTAACTCCCTGAAATAAACACAAAAGGTAAAAAAAACAACTCAATAAGCANCTATACAAGTAATGATCTTCCACGTGCCAAGCAAACATACTAAAAAGCATTCCAATGTAGAGCATGGGTTCGGTAACTCCCTGAAATAAACACAAAAGGTAAAAAAAACAACTCAATAAGCACATAAATAAAACAAACCAAAACAACAAAGAAAATTTATGTCTTGATACCGGAATTGCTGTTTCTAGAAGACGCAAGATAGATTTAGGCAGCCAAGAAAGTTTCTGAAACAACAAAAATAAGCTAAAATTACAAGTTGAATAGACATTCTAGAAATAGAATACAATACACATGCAAGGTCGGCCATTTCTAAAAACTACACTAAGTTGTTATGATGAGCTGGGAAAAGGAAGAGAAAATTGACGNACAAAAATAAGCTAAAATTACAAGTTGAATAGACATTCTAGAAATAGAATACAATATACATGCAAGGTCAGCCATTTCTAAAAACTAAACTAAGTCGTTATGATGAGCTGGGAAAAGGAAGAGAAAATTGACGCTGCAGAACACACCAAAGTATGAGAAGTTTCTAAAACCATAAGCCAATGAAAAACATCAAGAATAAATGCTGTGAAAGCAGTGCAGACAGTTTATGCACCAAGATGAACATTTTCACAGTTTAAAAATAAAAAGATTAACATTTTTTTATAAGTACCCAGATGAACAAATTCAAAAGAAAAGGTAGAAAAGAGAGAACTCAACAAAGAAACATAGAAAAAGATACCCAAGATAGCAATGTGGGATTCTTATTAACAAGTCGAGAAAACCTACATAAATGGAAGCATCTGTTGCAATTAAGAAAATGTCCGCTGGAAGCAATACAAAAGAGCGNTATAAGTACCCAGATGAACAAATTCAAAAGAAAAGGTAGAAAAGAGAGAACTCAACTAAGAAACATAGAAAAAGATACCCAGGATAGCAATGTGGGATTCTTATTAACAAGTCGAGAAAACCTACATAAATGGAAGCATCTGTTGCAATTAAGAAAATGTCCACTGGAAGCAATACAAAAGAGCGTGAGAAATAGTAACGAGATCAACACCTTAAGATTCCATTTGCTTTTTCCAAGCTGATCACTGGGAGAAGATGAAAATGCACTACCATCAACATCACATGCATATTCAACACTTTCAGTCTTTCCAAATGCTATTTCATGCCAAAATTCTTTTTCCATGTACGTAGCAGGAAGACATCCAGCACTATAATATCTACGAGCAAAAACCTTGTTCGCCATTTTCTCGAAGCCCCGAAATGAATAATTGCTAGAAAAACCATTCACAATCAAAGCCTGACCAAATATCCATCGAAAAACAATATATTTATTTTGTACAAAAACTCACATTCCACTCATGAAGAAAGTGACCTTGTCATCAGTATCCCACTCAGCAAGACGAAGGGGTTGAACTCTAGTTGTAAACTTAAAACCAGCATTTTCCTTCGTCAATACTACACCAGCAGGAACAGAAGCATACAATGGAGAAACAATCTTGCATATACCTGCAATATTATTCATGCAACATAACCAAAAAACGACAATCAAAAAATCTCAACACCGGCAGGAAACAGAAATTGTAGAATTTTTTTAGACATAGTGGACAAGGACACCTGTAAAGTACGTAAAAACAGAAGAACAAGGACCCCCGAATCTTAACATGCCCAACATACAACACCATCACCAAATCATGAATATGAACAAAGGCCAATCAGATTCCTGTCAAACTTCCAANGTAAAGTACGTAAAAACAGAAGAACAAGGACCCCCGAATCTTAACATGCCCAACATCCAACACCATCACCAAATCATGAATATGAACAAAGGCCAATCAGATTCCTGTCAAACTTCCCAATACTGACCTTATACCAAAACCACAACTCCCAAGTTAGAACCAATTTTCACCAACATAGTATTTTGAAATTGCTGGCTTAAGGAATTTGATAGGGATCAACATTTTAAAAAGCTAGTGAATGAAAGACTTCCTGACTTGAAGAGCACAAAAATAGACCACTGCTCATAATGTGCTCAATATACAGTTAAATTCAACAAATGAAACATCAAAAATATAAATTAAATATCTATCTTTAGTATTAGGTTTGGCATGATATTTTAAAACCACGTGCATGTATTCCATGTTCTACAGCACAGGACCAAGATGGCTCTACAAGATATCTTGGCATATCTTCAGGCCACAAATGATCCAACACTTTCCCCAATACCAATACGTGCTAAACAGCTGTTCTTTCTTTGCTCAATGAACGAAGTCCATAATGCGAAATCAGACATTGGTGAGAAAAGGGAAAGTGGGTCTCAAATGCTGGACCCCAAAGCCAAACTGTCCAGAAATACAACTGGGCAGTGGGCAGAGAGCCAGAGAGCGCTTGGCTAGAGCAAACAAGATAAATTACTAAAAGTGTTATACACATCCAATATGTCAAAAGACTCAAAACACAAGAAGGGACCTTACCATATCTTGAAGCTTCTGGANCAAAAGACTGGACTGTAGTGCATGGATAATTGATCAATTGGTGGCAAAGTTCCAATTCCATGATGTGGCTGTTGTATCTTTGTGTCCACGAATGAATGGACAGTTTTAGGAGAACATAAACTACACCAAACAAATGAATAGGCCTCGTTGAATGCAACATATGGAGCAACAAAACCATTTTCTAGTTTTTGCTGACAATGAATAGAATCACTCAACAAGATCTGATAACATAGGCCCCGTTTGGTAACATTTTCGTTTTTTGTTTTTCATTTTTATTTTGATATTTAAAGAAAACAAGAAAAAAAAAACTCGTTCGGTAACCGATTTTGTTTTTCGTTTCTGTCACCGTTTTGTAAACGAGGGCCGATTTTCAAAAACTAAAAAAAGACGTTTTTGGTTTTCGTTTTTCGTTTTTGAAAAACGAAAAACGAAAACGTTACCAAACGGGGCCATAGTTACAAGTTTGATGTTGATAAATCCACAAATCTAGAAATTCATTTCGTACAATTGCACCTTCTAGAACTGTTTCTTTTTAAGAACCTTTGTAAACGAAAACTTTTAACTTTTGGTAAATGACTGCAATTCCAGAAGTCATAAGATTTTGACCACGTATTTGATATGCTTTAACTGCAAAGTTCAATCTACAACAATTATGTCCATCTAAAGCTTATATCATTAAGGAGTCAACTAAGACAGAGACATTAATCTCTAACCACAAAAATCAATCAACTCTTCTGAAATATCTGTCGTACACCAGAACCCGCTCAATAATTTCTGAAACGCAAGCAATTCACGTCTGAATTGGAAAACTCGGACGGTAATAATGGGTGTTCTTACAAGTCTGAAAAATCAACAACTACCATANAACGCAAGCAATTCACGTCTGAATTGGAAAACTCGGACGGTAATAATGGGTGTTCTCACAAGTCTGAAAAATCAACAACTACAACANCAACCTTGCGCTTTGAGAAAACATCCTTATCATTTGAAGCACTACCAGATCGAGAAAGCATATTTACATTACTATGCAATCTCGTGCCACATGATGCAGAACCTCTTAAAGAATCTCCTCCACTTCTACTCATCATGTTGGCGACACATGCAGCATCACCTGAAGTTTCTGATTTCATCCGCTGAAGCCTTTTACGCTTCAGAAATTCTAATTTAGCCTCCCTGGACATGGAAACCTTTCCTTCCACCTGCAAAAGTAATAAAAAATACAAAACTCACATTAAAGGATTGGATTCTAAAATTCTGATATTCTGCTTAGTACACTAGAAATGAAAATCATTAATAACTCGACCCTGTGATGACCTAAAGAAAGGGTTATCGACTCAATTAGGTATGTGTAACTACACCAATTCAGTATCAGGGCCAACAAATCTAACATGAAGTCACCCACATAATTAGCAAGCTCAAATAAAGCCCATAGAAACACTACACAACTTAGCCTAACATGAATAGGAGGGCGGAACAAAATAAACAGAAAAATTTTGGAGAGTAACCAACAAAATATCAGAGGATATGTTTGAGGATTGACACTCGTTTCAAAGATATGAGCCTTTTCAGACAGCTTGATTTAGCCATCATGAAAAGAAAGAGTACCTGCCCACATCAAGGTCATACAATGTGCGGATGGCCACCCCACATGGTGTAGCACATCCTCACCAAAATCAAAAGAGAACAACCCGTATTGTGCACAACTTTAAGACCGATTGGTCCAGTAACGCCAAGCTTTTTGACAGACTCAAATGTCCAGCAAAATCAAATAATTGCCACACAAATGCACCCAGATTTCCAAGCATTAAATGCAGATTGAGAGACAAAAAGTCAATGGAAACAGCTCCAAGCAGAACCAAATGTTTGTATTGCCCTCTCCCTCCACTTAAGCAGTACTTTGATCACCACATGCAACTCAGATCTTACCTCTTGACTCTCATAAAATACAAAAGACTGGACTGTAGTGCATGGATAATTGATCAATTGGTGGCAAAGTTCCAATTCCATGATGTGGCTGTTGTATCTTTGTGTCCACGAATGAATGGACAGTTTTAGGAGAACATAAACTACACCAAACAAATGAATAGGCCTCGTTGAATGCAACATATGGAGCAACAAAACCATTTTCTAGTTTTTGCTGACAATGAATAGAATCACTCAACAAGATCTGATAACATAGGCCCCGTTTGGTAACATTTTCGTTTTTTGTTTTTCATTTTTATTTTGATATTTAAAGAAAACAAGAAAAAAAAACTCGTTCGGTAACCGATTTTGTTTTTCGTTTCTGTCACCGTTTTGTAAACGATGGCCGATTTTCAAAAACTAAAAAAAGACGTTTTTGGTTTTCGTTTTTTGTTTTTGAAAAACGAAAAACGAAAAACGAAAACGTTACCAAACGGGGCCATAGTTACAAGTTTGATGTTGATAAATCCACAAATCTAGAAATTCATTTCGTACAATTGCACCTTCTAGAACTGTTTCTTTTTAAGAACCTTTGTAAACGAAAACTTTTAACTTTTGGTAAATGACTGCAATTCCAGAAGTCATAAGATTTTGACCACGTATTTGATATGCTTTAACTGCAAAGTTCAATCTACAACAATTATGTCCATCTAAAGCTTATATCATTAAGGAGTCAACTAAGACAGAGACATTAATCTCTAACCACAAAAATCAATCAACTCTTCTGAAATATCTGTCGTACACCAGAACCCGCTCAATAATTTCNCAAAAGACTGGACTGTAGTGCATGGATAATTGATCAATTGGTGGCAAAGTTCCAATTCCATGATGTGGCTGTTGTATCTTTGTGTCCACGAATGAATGGACAGTTTTAGGAGAACATAAACTACACCAAACAAATGAATAGGCCTCGTTGAATGCAACATATGGAGCAACAAAACCATTTTCTAGTTTTTGCTGACAATGAATAGAATCACTCAACAAGATCTGATAACATAGGCCCCGTTTGGTAACATTTTCGTTTTTTGTTTTTCATTTTTATTTTGATATTTAAAGAAAACAAGAAAAAAAAACTCGTTCGGTAACCGATTTTGTTTTTCGTTTCTGTCACCGTTTTGTAAACGATGGCCGATTTTCAAAAACTAAAAAAAGACGTTTTTGGTTTTCGTTTTTTGTTTTTGAAAAACGAAAAACGAAAAACGAAAACGTTACCAAACGGGGCCATAGTTACAAGTTTGATGTTGATAAATCCACAAATCTAGAAATTCATTTCGTACAATTGCACCTTCTAGAACTGTTTCTTTTTAAGAACCTTTGTAAACGAAAACTTTTAACTTTTGGTAAATGACTGCAATTCCAGAAGTCATAAGATTTTGACCACGTATTTGATATGCTTTAACTGCAAAGTTCAATCTACAACAATTATGTCCATCTAAAGCTTATATCATTAAGGAGTCAACTAAGACAGAGACATTAATCTCTAACCACAAAAATCAATCAACTCTTCTGAAATATCTGTCGTACACCAGAACCCGCTCAATAATTTCTGAAACGCAAGCAATTCACGTCTGAATTGGAAAACTCGGACGGTAATAATGGGTGTTCTTACAAGTCTGAAAAATCAACAACTACCATAATTTTCCGCGACCAAAACTCTTACTCTGATCAGAATAAAGTCAAATAACACTAATCTAGCAGATACTACACCAGGACTGCACTTAAAATTAAACTGTCTCCACTTTCAATAGAAAGAGTGAACAGTATGATCGCCACAATAGTCCATAACATTCAAATACGAGTAAATGAAAAAAAACTAAATAAAAAAGTCAAATACATGACCCATCCGAAGGAAGGCAGCCCATAAATAAATAAATTGCATGAGCCAAAAATTCTAAAATTAGAAACAACAGGAAGAAAAAAAGGTGAATTAAAATTAGAAATCATAAAATTAGAAAGTAGAGGGAAAAAGTGACTGCTTTGACATTCAAAAGAGTATATTTAATTATTTATACCTGAAAATATCTTAAATCACTCGAATACATCTACAATTTCCTCAAAGACGAATTCAAACAAAATTAATCCAAAGGAAAATAAGAAGATATATGTTTAGACATGGGAGTATAAGATATACAGAACCATAGATATGCAACTATACATATACACGCATAAATATAACGACTAAAAATTGAACATCTTCACAAAAATCATTCGTGGTGGCAAAATTGAGAGAATGCTCGAGATCAGATGAATAAAATGGCAGGGGCAAGGGAAGCAAAGGAATATAAAAAATAGCAAAAACTCGGAAAAAATCGAATCACATACCATCTCATTCCTAAGTTCTTCTCTATAAGTCTCCGTCTTTTCTCCCTTCACCGAAACAACAATGACAAAAATCAAAGCACGACGAACCAAATCTCGAAACAACACGAACCAAGCCGTAGATCACGATCTATGACATGAACAACCACAGAAACGCCCTCAAACGCACCACATTCTCTCAAACAGAGTCCAAGCCAGAGATCAGAGCGATTCCACCAACCGAGTCACCAAACTCCACGCGAATAAAAGAACGAAAACGAAATCAATGAAACAGAGAAACTGCGTGCCAATTGTTACGCGAGTCTGTTCACCGGCGTAAGAGCGTTTTACCGGCGAGGAGAGAGGTTTCCCGGTGAAAAATAGAGATATACAGACATTTAGAGAGAGAAACGTAAAGAGCGAGAGGGGCGAACAGTATAGGTAATCCACAAGTATGGATTCAGAAAACCGAAAACAGAGTAAAGAGAGGATAATTTATAGTTTTATATATACCTCTGCCTCGCAATAATATTATTAATTATTTCTATAATTGTTAATTAGTACCATTAAGTTTGGAAATTTCCTACTTAATTATTTACTGGTAAAAGCAAAAAAGCGTGAAGGAAAGTGGTGGTTGTTGGGTTGGTTCAACCAAACGCCTGCCGGGCACAAAGCGCGTCGTTTTGTTTCGTCGACAAATACGCACCTTGATTCCATAATACCCCTAGGATTGACTAGTCCTGTGAGGGTGTTTTGGTAAATTGGGTGGACGGTGTTACCGAAGAATTCTGGTTCCTGTTCTGGTCAGAGTTATGAAAGCTGAAAGGAAGGCGCGAAGGGTTTGATCCCGAGTATTGATGTGCACTGGACATTTGAACATATATGATCAATCGACCCGTTGATCGGTTTTGTTATTTTCAAGTGGACGGTCAGAATAGGATTAACTGCCTTAGATCTGACAATTTTAGCCGCATGCGCATTAATGTTCACAAAGTTGACACGCACCGTCTCACTTTGACCTGACTTTCTGTCAGTTATGTTCATTTTTAAAAGACGTTCCTCTCTCCGGTTAGTTGCCTTTTTCATTGTTGGTTCAGGGGTAAACATGACTTTTCATGTAACATATTCATTTGCCGAGGCGAAACGTGAACAGTGGGAGTTAAGATAGTACAAGTGGCGAGAGGATAAAGTGTCCGTGAATTGCAGGCGTCGTCCTGTGTGCGTCTTGACGGAGAGAAATTGGAGGGAAACTGACAGAACGGAAATAGCTGGCGATNTTCATTGTTGGTTCAGGGGTAAACATGACTTTTCATGTAACATATTCATTTGCCGAAGCGAAACGTGAACAGTGGGAGTTAAGATAGTACAAGTGGCGAGAGGATAAAGTGTCCGTGAATAGCAGGCGTCGTCCTGTGTGCGTCTTGACGGAGAGAAATTGGAGGGAAACTGACAGAACGGAAATAGCTGGCGGTTACAGTAGGTTTCACGTTCCCCTGTGACCGGCCTAGTTTTCCGCTATCACGAGAATAGCTTAATAAATTTTCTCTNATGCACAAACGTCATAAGATGTAAGGGGAATATTCTAAATGTGAAGGAGTTCAAATGATTAAGTGACAAATATGAGGGGATCAAGATATANAAATTTTCTCTCTCTATATGTACAGGTGTATGTAAATTTATATATTGTTTATAATAAAAATCATATCCAAATTATTAATTCTAAAATTTGATTTAGAGTAATAAAATTTTGTTTGATTAATTTATAGTTATTAATTCCAAAAATAAAAACTNCTCTCTATATGTACAGGTGTATGTAAATTTATATATTGTTTATAATAAAAATCATAACCAAATTATTAATTCTAAAATTTGATTTAGAGTAATAAAATTTTGTTTGATTAATTTATAGTTATTAATTCCAAAAATAAAAAATTTTATACATATTACAATTTTATTAAAAATATAATATTAAAAAATTATTTTTAAGTACGGTAACCAAATAGATAGCGGGATTGATTGGATTGGGGGTTTTGTGCTTTTTCTTTGATACGCGGAGGTTGGTCTAATGATTAGTTTTCTACAGCCAGAGAAAACGAAACGTTGAAGGGATTTGCGTGTATTTTAGAGAAGTCTATGGCGGCTCGGCTTTGTCCTCTGTCAACAGTTTAGTCCAACTTTTCCACGCGATAATGTCACCTGTCATACGGCTCGGCGGCTTCTCTCAGCTCGGCTTTGTCTTTTTACAAGTTTTTTTTTTATAGCTCAATTTTTAATTTTTGTTGCCTTTGAAATTAGAGTCAATTGTTTTTTTTAAAGGGTTAAAAAGAATATTGTCAAAATATCCAGAATTTATACACGTCATTTATCTTCTCACCCTATTTATCATCTCTTTTTTCATCCAACTTTATATATTATTTTCTATTCTTTTTTTACTTTTCTAAAGTCCAAAAAATAACAAAATTGGATAAGACAGTAAAATAGAACCAATGATCAATTTTCGTCCATCGCACCGTGTAGTGACTAATGTTTTTTTTTTACCAGTTTTTGAAGATACGGTACGTGAATGATTTTAAAAATGGTGTTAGTAGTCGTTAGATGAATCTATTTGAAACCGTCGCATGAATTTATTAAAATTTATCAAGATTTATTTTTTTTGAATATTAAAACGAAAATAATGAGGTGCACTTGATGGACTAATTATGAGAGCAATTTTGATAATTGCCAACTCAACTAAATGTTCAATAAAA